ACTCTTTTTTCCCCCGAAGAAATCAATTATCCACGTAAGGTCTCCATTCAGTGCCACCATTTATAATCAATTCATCCTCAGTGCTAACGCAGTCCGAGTTAAACTGACCTCAATAAAGAATCAGGCAAACTATCGGGTTTTCCATCTTACGTTTTTTTTGTTTGTTTTTTAAAATCATTTTTTTTTGGGGGGGGGGGGGAAATCCCGGAGCATCAACTTTTTATATCAAGTACTTTGGTTTTGTTTTGTTTTGGGTTTCTTTGGTCTGTTTGTTTTTGTTTGGGGTTTTTTTTCAAACGCCAGGAGACTCTGGGAATGCACTGCTGAACGTTTGGAGTAATTTTAGTTGTCATAAGTTGGCCTGTGTTGAAAAATCTACCTTTAACCTCACGTGACCTTTGGGGGCACCCTCGGATCTAAGTCCCAATGACCATACCTTTATGAAAATACCTTCAGAGGCTTGTTTAGTTTCAATAGAGTTTTTACGGCCCTCGCAACGGCATAAGGTCATATGAGCACCAAGGGGTGGACGTCAACAGAGAAGTCTATGCAGGGAATAGGGCTTACTCTGCTCACCTTTCTAGCTTGAACAGCACAAATTCTGCTTCGACTATCAAGGCACCCCGGAAATAGCGGGTCACAAAATGTGACAAATACAAAAGAAGTAGAGGAAAATGACAATAGTAAGGATTAAAAAAGAAAAAGCAGCGGTTCCCCGTATGCAGTTCAGGCACAGTTAATCTGAACATGACATTGATAAATCAACCCATTTATAATTCTACTGTGCATAAGAACATGTTAATATTCCCCCTTTGGCAATAGCCTGTGCTGGGGTAAGGGGGGGGGGGGGGGGCTCAAGTTACAATGGCCATATCTTTAAGAAAAAACCTTCAAAGTGTACAGCAGAGGTTCTACATCATTCCAAGCACAAAGTCGGGTTTTATAAGAACCTGCAGCACGTTTGGGTAAAAGGAAACACATATGTACATAACAGCCATTTAGTGCAGGGCATGACAGACACAGATAACAAAAGGAAAGAATAAGTAGGACATACTAGTGGTATCTTCCAGTCACCAATATACAGGCTGGTAAATATGTAAATAGCTTACACGTATACTATAAAGGTAATTGGCGCCATATAACCTTTAAGGCGTTCGTTGACACCATCATTAAAAGCAGAGGTTGAATTTTGCAATCCTGGGTACATGTGCGAGGGTTGTTTTTTTTTTCGGAGTGGATTCTGCGGGTTTAAATTTTTAGTTTTTAAAATGGAATACACACAAGGTTGTTCAGTTCTAGATTTGAGTTTTATGTGTTTTGTTTAAGCACGTTTAACCCACTTGGTTACTTGGTTGGAGAATAAGTACCATTGTGGGCAGTTCACAGCCATAGTTGCTCCTCCCTCCTCTCTAGGATCCATGAAAGGGTTGGCTTGTGTATTTCATTGGTATAGATGTCGGTGCAGTATAAATGTGCACATGGTTTTTTTTTGGGGGGGGGGGTGCTACCAATGTCTGTCGTATAGTGGTTAGGTGCTTTGCTGCTGCATGCTGAAGACGCGAGTTCAATTCCTGTGTGGGAAGTATTTTGCTGAAGTATCTCCGTCATCCTGCTGGGACGTTGTATCCCTCTCAGCTCGGGTCGGCCCTGGCAGGCAGGGTGGAAACAGTTCGTCTCTTAAACGATCTAAACTGTGTTGATGGGGGCGTAAAACATCTTACAATGACCAAAAAAAGAATTAGTTTGGGACTCAAGGTCTTAGAGGTCATAATGCAGTGAGCATTAACTAAAATGTTGCTCGCATCAGAGCAAAAAACCCCCCAACATAATCTGCAGGTAAAATTACTCATTAAAAACACACTGAACTGCCACTCAATTTGTAAAATTCCATTTTGAAACTGACATGGATCATATTTTGAATCTTAAACCTGTAGAATTCACGAAGAACTTACCCTTGCTATGGCTTTGTGTGTGACAGTATTCAGCTGCCCCAGGGAAGATTTAAAAAAAAAATCTTGTGCGGGGAATGTGCAAAGTGCTTCGTATTTCATCTGTTTCTGGCTTGTGGCACTGAGAACATGCTGTGCTGTGTTGTGATGGCTTGGGGGAGGGGCTGCGGTGTGAGACCACAGAATGAGGAGAAGGGACAGACGCGGAAGCTTTTCAGGATGGCTGAATCGGCCTCTCGGATGTTGTATGCTGTGTCTTTTCAGTCAGTTTGGATTTGTTCCTCTCTAAGTTGTGAACATCACTGTCACTTTTTATTTTCTCGGAAAAATTTGTTGTACAGAGTAGCAGTTTAAAATTCCACCTAATCTTTGGGAAAAGAAAAACACCCAAGACACCCCCCGACCCCCCAAAATAGAAATATTCATAACAACTATTGTGATAGGTGAATTCTTTCTGTTAACCATTTTTGGCGCTATCTTTCCTGTCAGTGCGGCTTGATTCATTGCATTTAAAAAAAAATGGATATAACTTCCTTTTGACCAGCAAATTTTGTTGTTGTGGACATTCGATACTGGACTCAGAAAGTCAGTACGATGGATGACTTCTTTTTAATTCATAAGCTGCTTTAGTGACACTCTTGATTTATAGCTGGCAGTGGTGACTTTTTTCCTTCAAACAATTTTGGTGATATTATATGTAGGCCTACTGCTGGTGCTGATGCACCCTCTGTCCCTTCTCCCCACTTCTGTGGTACTGACTTCAAACAAGATATTGACGTTGGGCTGCGTTGGAATTTCAAGGAAATTTCAAGGACTTCAATGGAACGTTTTCAACTTACTTAGATTTTTTCCACCTCTGATGATGATGTTTCCCTGTACGAGAGATGCAGGTCTACGGTTGACGGGAAGATAATAATTTTTGTTTTGTTTTTCACATACGTCTTCAGAGAGGCAGGCGTATATTTCTTTCTGTGATCTTTGTGAATAGCTTCATTATTCTTTTCTACGTAATGCGGTGTTGTGGTGTTGATGTGGAGAAAAAGAGAATTTTGGCTACTTGCATATTTTTGTACTGGACGGTTGTGTGCGAGCTGTCTGTTTGGAAGTTTCTGAATCTGTGGATTTTGTGTGAGCAGTGTGTTTTGACTTGAGTGTGTAGAGTGAGTGTATTCGTGTAAAGCTTGTAAGATTGTGTGTGTGTGTGTGTGTGTGTGTGTGTGTGTGTGTGTGTGTTTTAGTGTGTGTGTGTGTGTGTGTGTGTGTCTGTGTGTGTGTGTGTGCAATGGTTTCTCTTCTGTGATTTATATAATTGATTTTGTATAGATACATATGCATGAAAGCCTGTGTATACATGTATGTATGTATGTAAGGTTAATTTCACCATGGTCAGTATATCAAGAGTATATTTGTCCCCGCAATAAAGATTTTCCATGATATGGATTGCGTGGACTTACTTTGAAAATATTTCTTATTTTCTTGTCTGTCAGCTCTGTGAAAGCTAGGGTGGTTCAGCCAAGTATAGTGGGCCACAAATGACACGTCTTGAGTTCATCTGTCTACTGGGAAGTGATCACGCGTGCCCTTCTCCCTCACTTGCTTTTTGTTTGTGGTTAACACTTTGCCATCACTAGGGTCGTATAATAAAAACTCTTGCCATCAAAGGCAAAGGCATTTTGGGGAATATCCAAAGAAACTGGGTGGTAAACATCGCCGATCGGCGAGATGAGGTGGCAAAGTGTTAAGAAGAGTTTGAAAATAATATAGTGTTTGTTTGGAGTCTCTCGTTTCTCTTGTATAAATAATCGGAGGCATGCACTACTTCATTGACGGGTGGTTGGCGGATGCTCTGATGTGGTTTTCTCCTTCTTTGTTATCAAAGATCTATCATTAGTCTGAACTTTTCTCCTTCTTTTTTGTGTTTGTTACAACTCTCTTGTAACACCTGTAGTCTTTAGCTCTTATGTGACCATATGGTCGCTTTTAAGGACAAGCGGGCTAACCCAGATTTGGGGGGTTTCCAGAAATCTCGACTTACACCAAAAATGGGCATTGCCCTACCTATAGGAGAAGTTTGGTTTCATTGGTGTGTATCTTGTCTTTTAAAGAAACTGAACAAGGGGCCAAAACTTTTCCTTCGATTTTTGTCAAAACAGCATTTTTCGGGATAGCCCCCTTGTGCTTAAAAGCGACCATATTGTGTTGCAAGTGCAGAAAAAACTCCCACTCAAACTACTTCATTGAAACCCCCTTGGCGGGCCTCTTCATTCCCAAGTTTCTGACTCTTTTCCCCCATGGTGGATATATGGTGTAGCAGCCTGTTAAGTGATAGAATCCGATCAGTTGCAACACATGTAAATCTTATGAGAAGATGTGAATGATGTTTGTGTAAGTTATTGGTAAAAGTCACTTATTTATATTATAAAGCTTGCGAGTTTAAAGGACTTTATATGTCTTTGGAGTCATTCCAGGTGATAATTTCTGAGCAGATGTTTGCCTTCTCCTGATGTTTGTGAAGATTGACTGTTCCTATTGATATGTAGTGCTTATTGCGAATGCTTTTGATATGTGCATGTGCACTGTGCGAGTGCTTGTTCTTGTGTGTGTGAGAGGGGGATGAAGAGAAAGAGTAAAGAGGGAGGGAAGGAGAAAGAGAGAAATGGGAAGGGAGGCACATTACTGAACTTATAAATATATAAATTGCATAAAGCCTGTTTCCCCTTTTGGTTATTATATGAGTATGGTATGGGCCAGGGAGTTTGCACTTGTGTGAAATGCACCATTGTATTGTATGCAATGACTGTTTGCAATAGCACTGGGCCATATGGATAAGATTGTTCTATTGTATCTGACCGTTTCTTCTAGTCTTTCATTTAAATAAAGAATTGGTTAGTTGAACTGTTATCGTCTTTAGTATTTTTCAGTGACTGCCAAACTTGGATCCATAA